ATCCCTCGATGTCTTCTCCCAGGATGGTGGTGGTGGTGATGATCCCTTGATGTCTTCTCCCAGGATGGTGATGGTGATAATCCCTCGATGTCTTCTCCCAGGATGGTGATGGTGATAATCCCTTGATGTCTTCTCCCTGAATAGTGGTGGTGATGATCCCTCGATGTCTTCTCCCTGGATGGTAATGGTAATGATCCTTTGATGTCCAGCTCTCCAAATGGTATAGGATGTTTCTTCAATATTCTTTCTACTCTGATGTGGATCTTATAATGTACATTCCATAGATGACTAATTATTTAAATATTATAATTCATATAATTTTTTAAGGCATTAATTGTTGTTTCATTATCGTAATATCTTTTACATACCAGTAATTACGATAATTGGAATCATTAATTTGACAAATATACAATGCACATTTTTTCCTAGTACTCGAATATATAAATGTTGATAAAGTAACGTTTGAATATCCTTTGTTTCTGTTATATATTGTATGATTCTTTCGTTATAATTAGTGGAATTTGATTTTTTTTTTTATATTTCTTTTTTTTTATATATTTCTTTTTTTTTTTTAATATTACTGCCAATTTTTCCTTAAAAGGTATTTGATTTAGTTTAAAAACATTGACAATTCAAACGTATTCTATACAATAAGTGCTTATTGTTAAAATAATATCCATCTTAAGAACATAATTAAGATCAAGATATTATTATAAATATACTACTATATTTTTAGTTTAGATGATTGATTTCTCTTTTTTGAAATTTGAATTGTAATATTTTAATATATTGCAGTATTTGTAGAATTGTTTGTATCTATGCCAATTAATCCATTCTAAGTATATGCTGCTATTTTTAGTAAAATTGATTGTCTTCAAAGCTACTAAAAATGTTGTTAGCATATTCAAAAGGAAATTAATCTTCAAAACATTTTTTTCTTTCTATAGTTACCTGAAATAATATTAAAATATTTTGCTAACAACATAAAATATTATAACATAATTAATTATATAGAATTATAATTTACGTAATTACGTAGTRGTTATTTTTTCTTTCACTAGAGTATTACACACTAAATTATTACAAACGTATTTTGCTTTTTTAATTATTTTATACACTTGTTTTTTATATAATTTTTACTTTTTTTTATAGAAAATCTCATTTTTATTCTTTAAAATATTTTCGTTTTTTTTATTGTTTTTTATTTTATTTTCATTCTTTTTTTAATTTTTCATATATATAAATCCTTTTTATTTTTTTGTATAATCTTTTTTTTAATTTTTTTTAATATTGTAATCTTTTTTATTTTTTTTTAATATTGTAATCTTTTTTATTTTTTTTTTAATATTGTAATCTTTTTTTAATTTTTTTAAATATTGTAATCTTTTTTTAATTTTTTTTAAATATTTTAATCTTTTTTAATCTTTTTAAATATTTTAATCTTTTTTAATTTTTTTAATATTTTAATCTTTTTTATTTTTTTTCTATATATTTTTTATAATTCTTTTGTTTAATTTTTTTTTCTTTTATATATGTATATTTTTTTTTTTAACGTAATTTGATGAATTTTTTATATATAATATTGTTTTTACAAAGTTTTACAGGCCGCAGATGAAAATCTTATTAATAATAAAAAGTTTAAACAAGAGCGTGTATACACATGCGCTTTTCCTACAAGCGGCCAGCAAAATGCACAGTGCATTAACACGCTTATGCCATCTAAAAAAAAAAAAATTGAAAACGTGACAAATACTAAAAATAATGTAACAACCAAAATAAATGTTTAAAATGAATATTCCAAAAAAGTAATAAACGTCGAAACAATTTTATCTTCGATAGGTTGTAAGTCTTCCAACTAGATATAAAAAAAAAATTCTGTAAGAAAAGAAAGTTTGTTAGTAGATGAACTTAATGAGAATAAACACCGAACATAATAAATTCATGTTCTGATGCAAACCTTTTAAAAATGAAAATATATGCTATTTTGCTGGAACTCTGCATTATTATTCCAAGGCCTGTTTTAAAGATGGTTCGGGTCAATTGAAAAATATCATCTCCTAATCGCGTATGGGGAAAATAGTAATATCCAAGAAGTGGAAGAAGATTAACAGCAAACGCCAAATGTGGATATCCCCATTAATTATTAATTCTCCGATAGTAGATATATTATTCTGATGCCTGCGATACCAAAAACTTCGACAAAATTTTTCCAAAGTCGTACTGCACGAGTAACGTTCCTAAAAGTTATTTTCAGTGTAGCATTCATCCCAATGATAATTTCGGTTGCTAAAAGTTTGACTATGAAGGCATAAAACCAAAGTGACGATGATGCCGAATATGAAGATCTTCCAAAATTAGTAGACTACCGATGGACGTCACACCATGGTTTTATTCGACGACCAATCCCATCCTTTTAGTTTGATCGGGCATTGGGACACCATCGATGTTTTCAAGGATCCATTGACTAGATTTATTCCAAGCTTTAACAGTATTACTGAAGTCCTGATAAAATTGCGATTGACTATCTTCCAAGAATCTTCATTGATTATTTTAACTTTGCTTATATAAATGTATGGCGTCTAGAAAAACAGTTGATTTTTGTGTTTCTTCCTGTATTGAGAAAACTTGTCATATACTTTTCAATGTTGATATAAAGTGCTATAATGATTGATTCTGTTTTTCTTCCTGTATTGAAAACTTGTCATAATGCTTTTCGATATCGAGTGATATAATGATTTCTGTGCTTTCCTTCCTGCATTGAATTACTTTTTGTAATATATTTTCGATATTGACCAAGTGCTATAATAATTTTCGATCAAGTTGGATGTTATAAATATCTAAATTGGTTGCAAATTAATATATGTTGCTTCTGCACAAATTATGAGGAATGTGTGATCTAGGAGAAAATTACCAAAAATCTACCCTTAACAATACATTAAATAAAATGATTGTTGTTGAAGAAATACCTCAGTTAATACTATACTTAAAGAAACAGGAGAAGATAAGCGTTATTTTAGCATCACAGAGAAACAGTCGAGGAGTTAAATATTAATTATGGACATTTTCTCTTCGCTATTTAGTATAGTGCCCATCCATCATCTCATGCGTATTCTTGATCCTAAGAGGACAACTCATAATGCTAGAAAATTTGTCTATATATCGCATATACAAGTGATGCTAAATCTGAAATGCTATTGAAGAATTTTCAAGTTATTAGTACCCCTCCTCCTCCCTTTCCCCTCCCCGCCCCAAAATTTCTAAATAATTTATTAAACTTTTCAATACACTGATGTGATATACAGCGGTACACAATCATTTTGGAAGCAAAATAACCAATTAATTATACAATGTGTAGTATAGAACCAATGAAGAAGTAAGTTTGAAAGCGCGCAATACACAGCACTTAATAAACAGCATATCAATCAATAAAGCTATTAAAAAATTGTCAAGTCTCATAGTGTCTTTTTCTAATAGAAGAAAAAAAAAATATATATATATCAAAACTCACGAAATTCACTCACCAAAGTTTTGCTAGCATCAAAAGCCATTTCTACGATAATAAAATTATTTCTACCTCTTCCAGCCACAGAGAATCTTTAATTACCAAGCATCATTCGTTAAAATACTTTGGTAGATTTGGACAATGGTAATGCGCCAATTAATTTCTATATATTCAAGACCGAACGTACATTAGCTACCAAACTTAATATTCCACCCAATTTTAGCAATCATGATGCGCATTATATATAAATCTTGAGCTTGATGATGTACAACACTTGCTTGGTTATCACATTACACAAAACTTTGTTTTATTCACACGTATTTTTGATATATCAAAGAACTTTCTCACATCATAGCATAATTAAATATAAACAAACGAATGCACTAATTTCACACAGCCTACACTTTTAGTAGTATTTCTTCTCCTCTTCCTATGTTCAAATATTATAAGCCGTGTATTTGAAATATCTTCATAAATTGCCTGGTTTCATAAATATAAGTGAAGAAAAAATTTCTATTTTGTGATAGCAAATCTGTAATATATTATATGTATCTTGTTGTCATACTCAACGTTAAATGAAATTGACCAATCAATTATTGCAGCAAAAACAAAATTGATTATCATTTGATATACTTCTTCCATATGTCTTTTTTCTCTATAGAAACAGTGTTATTTGTATATTCTCTGTCATTTTTAATCTCTATTAATTTCCTGCAAAAAAAATATTAATTTCCCTCCCACAATAACACCTACTATTTACCTGAGAAACATTTCTATCTGGAAAATGATGACTCTTTATACTTCAATTCGAATTCTTGTTTCGGGGAATTATTTTACTCCAATATCGACGAGTCTTCTAAATAATGTCATTATCGTACCAGTTTTTTAAATAATAAAATCATTGCAATTGCATAAGCTATCTACTTTAGAGTGTCATTCATTGCCTTATCCTTTTCTCTTTAAATGGTGTTGTAAAATTCAAATAATAGATGTGGTTTTTTTTTATCTACATGATACATACGGATGGATGTTCTGTGCGGTATTATCTTCTGACGTAAGAACGGTTGTTGGATATATATGCGTTCAATGGATATGTTAATATCTGCATCCCATGAAGAAGAAATTTTCCACCAATTAGCAGATTCAAAAGTGCGTTTCTCAAATAGCTATATTCTAATCTTCCACTGGCTAGGTACAATGCGTTCTGAAGTAGACTACCATGCTGCACATGCTTTGGCTGATATCACAAGAATACCTGATGGGGAAATGTGTGCATAGTTCTGCTAGCATCTCTGTGGAAAGAAAATGCAAGATCTTTTTGCCCTCCCCTTTCCTTCCCTATTTCTCACATAAAACAATCTACGAATCTAAACTATATACATATATTAAAAAAAAAAAAACAAACAGAAAGAAAAATTATACTGATTAAAGAGTTGCATAAAATTGTTTTAGGTATATAATAAGTTGAAATACCTCGTGACGTACACACATACTATTGAAAATTATGATACTTGAAATGTCTGAATATTAGAACATGAATTCTTACAACACATATCCGTCTCCTTAATATATTTTGTTTAAATTTATATTCAAATGATGAATGTTGTGGATGTATGTTATTATCGTATGATATCAGCGTGCAGTGCAGGAACCTGTTATTTAAACTTTGGTGAACAACAAGAAATACTTTTATGGAAGAATCATTGCTATGTTATAAATATTATGCGTTTTTTGTCTACTTTTCTTTTAACGTGTATTCATTAAGTAGTATTTGGATGTTCTTTCTTGTTCAACAACATATCTTGTTAGACTGCAGAGATGCATCCGAATGAGTCTTCTCCATTTTAGTAATTGCACGAAACACAGCAACATTCCTGTAGCTCAGAACAACATTTTGCTTTGCCCACCCTTACCACATAAACTATTTCCAAACGATCAAATACGCAAGTTTAAATAATAATAATAATAATACTAATAATAATAATAATAATAAAAATCGTTCAATTTCACATCCGACTATGTACAAATATATGCATTATGTAAAAAAATTTGCTTACAAATACATTATTAGCGATTGTAATATACCAGGATCCAGTCGAAATCCAAAGCCATGTGCTTGCGATATTTGGGGCTGATTAGTAGTAACTGGAATAAGAATGTGAAATAATCCGGAATCTCCAACATACCTTTTCCAATTTAAGCCAGACATTGAGAGATTATATGAGCGTTATAATATATACAATTCCAGCAATCTTCCAGCGCATTAAAATTTGTCTATGATAACTGTGAAAAACAGAACAGCCCCAAAAGAAGCCTCACAACAGAATATTGATTTCAAAACATATATTCATATCAATAAGCAAATTTCTTTCAAGCCAGTCAGTCATTTTCCAATATTGTTGTTCTGGATATATTATTTCATACTTAAAAATGATATGTAGTTTAGCGCTTATTAATTGTGACCAAGTTCTGATATTAAATAAATTTTTCTCAGGGCTTAAAACAAAATTGCATTGACCAAAATATTTAAACTTTCTATCATGTTCCAGCAACTTCTTCCATCCAAAGCAGTTTTCATCATTGCTAAATCCTATCTTCGTTGTTAGAGTGAAGTATGAAAAATCCATATAGCGGAATAGAACATTCTGGAGTAAAAAAAATTCTCAACATACACCTGCCCCCTGTCCTTCTATATTCATACACGTCAGTTCGTAATATATCATCTAATACTTGTAAGGGATACCTCCTTCCTTCAATCAATTCCTGTTCTGTACATCTCAATGAGATAGATTCTATTGACCATGCTTTCCATTTAATCTAGAAAACACATAACGCACAAATTCCATCCCTAATTTTATAAACATATTGATATACAGGGTACCTTTATGCCACCAAGGGGTAAGTATCTTTCAGGATCACATCGTATCTGTGAAAATAATTATTGCGCACACAGAGACCAAAAGAGCATAGAAAAATGTAAAAACTTATGCATCATCTTCATCATTGCTGGCTTTGTTAGTAAAACCCATTGCTATTTTTCATTCATAACTCTTTTGTGTGAAACTACTACTCATATTTACCATAGATCAATTTTCTCATATTTCTTTGCTTTAATTACTGACATGCATTACGAATCATCATACCTCAAAAGTTATGCTAATAAAATGTATCGATGAAGTTGATTGTATACTGGTATAGCCGATTTGCATCATGTCAACAACCAGAGTAAATTGGTATTAGCAGCGCAAGCACTGGAGGAGTTTTTGAGAATCTTCCACGTTCAGTAGAAATGTTCCGAATCTGAAGAAACACGTTACAAGGGTGGTGGTTGTTGGCAATACGAAAGAGCTCACCAGACAGTGGTACGAATTCTCTGCCTTGTAGTGAGCCTTGTGCATCACGCGCTGAAGTTTTTGAGAAGACTCGCGAGTTGGTTGTGTGCTGAAGGTGCGAAGATATGGTGGGTAGGTACATGTTTATGCTCAACTGGGCCCCCACACATTTGGAGATCAAAGTGCGGCTTGCACGACCTTCTAAAAACAAAGACTAACCCATCCCTTTCCCACTCGATACAATTCTTGTCGTCTCACCACACATCTTATTCCTACGGGTTATGGACAGGCCAATAACTTCAGAGCCGATAACCAATTGCTTCAGCGATATTTGTTTAGTATTCTCTCGCTCAAGGATTTTCTAGGGTGAATGCCAGACTGAAAAGGATTTATGGCATTAATATGATATGTATGATATTGGCAAATTATATGAAGAAAATCATTTTTATTTTAAACAATTTATTTTCGTGAATACTTCCGTTATTCATCTCGTCATCTATAAATATATATCAACTAATATATATATATATATATATTTTAATATACAAAATTCAATGTGAATTAACATTTCGTCAATAGACTTCTACAGTAAACTTTCGTACAAAACTAGTTAGTAATTATCAAGAATAATTTGCAGAAAAGAATTTTCTGCAAATATGTTCTCAAAAATTTATATCAAAATATTAAACATGTCTTAAAATGCTTAATGTATTAACAGTGTTATACAAAAGTTTACTGTACATCAAATTTTCTATTACTCTAAAACTTGAGATCATTTCAACTTAACAATATCTTTATCACAGTAAGATATTAAATGCTACAATCTAGTATCACATTGGAAATAATTACAAAAATTATACAGGTACATAAACCATTAATCAAGTTATTCCAATGATGCTAAAAATTAATCCTGAAATGGGTCATCCACATTGTTCTGCGATTTTCATAGATTAAAGCGTATAATATGAAACCACAATCAAGTATAACATGCAATGAAACAAAAAATCATTTCAAAGTTAAGGTTTCATCATTAAATTTTATAAAAACAAATTAAAATGAGTATCTATGAAAAACCGAAGAATTTGCTAGATGACCTAATACTTGAACACATTGTCTATAAATCTAATTAAACATCTACAAATTGTTCATTAAATTGAGTCTTGATTTAAAAAGTTAATAAATTTCACAATTTTAAAGTTAATAAAATATTTTGGTTCGATACAGTTTACAAACCAAACCGATGAAAGACTAGAACCAGACAGAATGGTATCTCAGCTTCCTAGGTAAATGCTTAGTGTCCATGGACATCTGGATTGGCAGTATCCTCTCTTCCTAACCACTTCTTCCATAGCCACCTCAAACGGTGAGACTGCAAGTAAAAAATTTCCAGATATACACCAAGGTAGGTAACGATGCAACAACTCTTGTAGATGCCTCAGTACTGGTCAGTATTACAACTCTTCTAGTTTCATCCAAATAATGAAATCTTGATATTAACTTAATTATTTGTGTCAGGTTAATTGCGTAGGTGTAGAGGTTATGTTCATTCGTAAGTTGTGTAATTTTAACGCTGTAGTGGACTTTTGACTTCGGATACTTTTTTCATGAAATCGTCTAAGCTGCTTAATTCTGGACACAATGGTTCGGGTTCGGGTTTTGAATTATTTTGTTCAGATATAAGATCAGAGTAAGATTGTTTCTGTGTTTGTAAGATTGCAAGTTTATTACATCTAAGCTTGTATTCAGCACTAGAAACAACGTTCGCCAATATAGATTCTATGCGTAAATTGCGTTTAGGACTTTTACGTAATTCTAATCGCTTACGACGAACATTTACTATCCACTTGTTCAATAAATATTGACGCATGGTAATAGATTTTAATCTCTTAAGTTCTTCTTTTTTCTTTTCAATTTGCGAATGATCAACAGGAGTCTGAAGATCCTGAGGTGGTGGTGGTGGATTATCGTTACGTTTCTGTAGTTGCAACGAACCAAAAAATTGTTCTTGATCCATTTTTTTTCTGTTTTTTCTAATTCGACGTTTTATAGATCGTATAGGTATATGTGTAAATGTTTTTACAAATACTTGATACACAAACTTACGAATTTCAAAAAGTACTGCAAACCTCTCACAAATATAAATGTTTTTCGTATTTCAACTAGCAATGTTAATAATTAATGTAAACACCAACCTGTATCTGGCTCGTATTTCACCACGATCCGTGTAGATTGCGGATTATGTGAGAAGAGGTTGATGAACAAAACACGTGACTTGAATATCAAACACTAAACTTTTTACTAATTAAAATTTAGACTAGAGCCAAACACGGTCCTTACAGCTTGAGGTCGACTAGAGAAATGGGTTCGCCGTTAGCTTAGGCGGCTCTTTATATACCCCTCCATGCGCCACTATGTAGTGACCTTACGCGCGATCGATAGAAAATAGTTCCTCAAATATCGTTGTTAATTTATTATTACGATTTAATTTTTGTCTCAAAATTTGTATTAATTATTTCTATAATATTTGATAATAATAATAGTAAGAATTTTTTGTCTTTATTTGACTTCTTTTCGATTAATTAATACTAAAAAGAAAAACATTCGCTAGCGTAGGAAATGTAACATGGTCGTTATTCGTCTTCCCCCTCTACTTTCTTACGCATCTGACGATCATCACGTCTACGGCAGCCATCTTATTGCAGACAACTTACAAGGTTGCCAGATTTCTACTTTTTCGATGGCATGCATTAACATTTTCATAGAATAAAAATATTTCTTTCTTTCTTTTCTTTATTTTTACTTTAGTAAAAATATATATTTATATATTCTTATATATTCATATATTTGTATTTTTCCTTTTATTTGATATAATTTCATACTCTTTACATATTATTTCTATCTCTTTCTTTCTTTTTTTTTTTGAGAAAATATAAAAATATTTCTATAATTCTAAAACGAAGAATTTATATAAAAAGTATACATTTTAATATATAATTAAAAGGCTTTAATCTAAGAAAAATTTCGACCTCATATTTTAGATAACAATTATTTTTATAACAAATTCCAGAAAATACAATTTCAAACCTAGAGAAAAATTGCGTAGAACTTTAACTAATTAATATATTTTATATCAAAATAATTGGAAAATATAAAAAAACAATAGAGTATAACATGTTGATAATAAAGATTTGAAAATATTTCATAATATAACAAAATATATAAATATTTTTATGGGTCATATACTTTTATGAGAAATCATGGCAACATGGCTTACGGAGAATTTCCTTCTCGAATATATTCTACCATAGAACATCATCCATTGTATAAAAACTTTCCTTTCCCCAAATAATATAGAAATATCTATTTCTTCTTACTTAAATATGATGGTAGTTTTTTTTATTACGTATAAATATAGATATATCAATTTATTTATTTAAAAATAGTTTCAAACATAGCGTTCAAAGGCATTACGATGTTACAAATGATTCATTTTCGTATTAAATAAAGAGAAATCTTAGGTTTTTTTTTATAGATTTCTATTAGATGATTCATAATATCTAAACTAATTGTTATTTAAGTACTAAATAATTCTAATAGATTATTTGGAAATTTCTTTGGTAGGAAAATAAAGACGACAAAATTTAGATATTTTATGCTGCAAATTAGATAGTAATTTTTAATCAACAATAATTTTGTAGTATATATTACACATAAATGCGTATATTATCGAAAGAACAAATTTATTTTTGGAAAGATAACAGTGTATGAAATTTACACACACACACACATATATATATATATATATAATATACATTTTGATAATAACAATATATATATATTTCAAAATATTCAAAAAGAGAAAAACTAGTATGACAAATATTGCATTTTCATTTATTACAAAATACATAATCTTTTCCTTTATAACATTTATTCTAACAATAGACATCCTGTGTATACTTATGAAATTATATATAATGTTTGTAAAATAGTTATATACTAAAAATTGAAATTAGATAAATAATTTGATTAAAAAAACTCATGGAAGAATTATACGTATATTCTTTTTTTAAGTTAAGATTCGATCAATAAAGATTGCGTCATCTTTGTTAGTCGTTGCAGAAAGCATGCGCATTATTTGCAGATGTAGAGGTTATAAAATTATCGATTTATGATATATATATATATATAAGAATATATACAGAGTGTACCAACTAATTTGATCTACTGACATGAAATATTTCTATTATTTTTGATTTTATAATAAACAAATGCTTAAGTCGAAGTCACGGTGTTTCAAAAGACACATCTAGATATGAAGAATCTATGCATACAGTAAACAATTGGAATTTCTTTGAAACGAAATTTTTCGTAGTTTATTTTCAGTTTTTACATAGGAAGGGAAAATAAAAATCTCTTTTATGAAGAATTATTTAAAATATTTATTCTTAAAAATGTTATTAACAAAATTGTAATAAAACTCATTTACTTGTAAAATTTCTTTTTGTTTACACAAATTGGATGTAATGCAATGTGATATATAGTATGTATATCTGCATTTACATGTCTTTTTTACAGAGGCAATGATAACTTATTCCAACAATTTCATATATTTATGCTGTTTGCAAAGAATACATACAATATGTTTATATTACATTCTTTGAATTTAATATAAAAGTAAGGTTATTTTTTGGTATTTATATATGGCATACAAATATAGAAATATAGTAAGTATTATTAATATATTTATTGTATAAATTTATATTTTTCTTATACTCAATATTTAATTGATAATAGACGATTATCAATTAAAAAGTTAATAACCATTGAAATCTATATGTATAATTAATGGAAAATAATGTTACAACTATTTGACATTAATATTAAAATTTATGAATTTAAAAATATTAATTTCTAAATCTTTTTTTAAATCGGTAAAAGAATATATAAAATTGTTATATTATTTTTTAGTATATTGTTTGCTATCCAATTGTAAATTTGACTAGAAAGCGTAGAAATCATTTGCCAAGTACGACTCAATACTTTTGTTTATATTGAAATGAAATAAGCCTAAGTAGACATAATAAAATGATAATTTCATTAGAGCCCATTGTTCGAGAAAACTCAACTCCCATCGTTTCCATTCGCTCGAACAGAATTTTAATTTCTCTCCATAAACTGATTGAATACAACATTTGGACATTTCCATGAACGAAGACATTCGATTTTGCGTCTTCAAAGAATGTTCAATTCCACGCATTAGATCATTAGTTTTAAGAATTAACAACATTTGCCTATTAACCCTTTGCAATACATCGCTAATTTGTGGTAATAAATTAGGTATTTCTTTTTGAAAAAGTTCTTTCTCGTGTTTGTCGTATTTTTTTTTCTGCAACCCTGACATTATAGTATCCCACGTTCTACCAGATACCATACACGATAATAATCCGTAAAGATCACCTACACCTAAATTCGTACAATGTTTTTGCATAGCAAATTTATCTCCGTTCAATATTGCTAACCATAATTTAGAATATTCCCATCTAAACTCATTGGAAAGATTCGCGTACAATCCATGATCCAATAAAATTATTTCAGCTTCTGAATTATTATTTCTAACAAGAATGTTTCCAGGATGAGGATCCGAATGTACAAATCCACTAATAAATATCATATGACTGTATAAACGACCTAATTTACTACTGACTTCATATGGATTTAATTTTTTGCTTCGTAGATATTGAAGATCATTAACTTGACCGCCTTCTAAAAATTCCATAGTTAAAACTCGTTGAGATGATAAATCCCAATATATTTTTGGTATTATTAACCAATTATAATGAGAAAATTGGCTTTGTATCTTTTCTGCATTTCTTCCTTCTAGAGTAAAATCTAATTCTTGTGGTATATTTTTCTTACTTTCATCAACTAACCAATCGAATTTAAAGTCTGGAAATATATAAGATGTAATTTTTACTAATGCTGACATTGTTTTTATGTCAACAAAAGCATTGGTCTTGACAGTACGATGTTGAACTTTAACTGCTACAACATTGCCATTTTTAAGTACAGCTTTGTGAACTTGTGCAAGACTTGCGGTTCCCAAAGGTGTTGGCTCGATGACTTCGAATATATCATATGGATCTTTTCTGAAATCTTCTTTTATTACTCTGAGGACATCTTTGAACGATGACTGTGGAGCAGAACTGTGTAAAACACGCAATGTACTAACATATTCTGTTGGTAATAAATAATCTAATGCTCCAATATGCTGACCAACTTTTATATATACACCCTTATTGGCACAACAAAGTTCTAGAAGTCGTTCTGCTCCATATTTGTGTACTTTTGATTTTAATTCTAAATATTCTGGTGATGTACTTTTTAAATTGCTATTGTAGAGTTCTTTTTTATAATGATTACCTATTACAAAGACGGTAAGAGCAGCACGTCCAAGGCGTACAATACCAATTGATCCAATATCATATTCGTTAGCTCTTAAGGATACCAAAGTGCCTACAGCTATTGTACTTATTGTAGCCGTTTTCAAAAATCTTCTTAATGATGTAATCATTGTCATAATAATCTGTAAAGTTGTTAAAAAATTTTAAATTAACATTTATTTTGTAAGAATACATATAATAGGTAAAATATATATATAAATATAAATCAATAGGTAAAATTAACCTTAAATCATGTCTTTGATATGTTAAAAAATAAATATATATATCTATTTCTGTTATATCACGTTATTTTAAAAAATTGTAAGTAATATTACGAATTCATTCTTTTTATAATTTCGTCATACATACATACTTACATATTATCTTTATGTACATAACCTAAATGTCATTCATATCACGAACACGTTGTAATAAAAAATCAGTGAAGTATCCAATATTTATAACACTTTTACGTAGTTCAATTATCCTTTATTCACTGTTATATTTTAAATAAAAATGATATTTATATAACGAATATTCGAAGGATAAATAATCAATAAGTTAATTTTTTCCAAACTGAGAATAGTTAAAAATTTTTCTTACTGACTAGAACTGATTTGGAAACACTGAGATACTTTCACTTTTATAAAATATTTATATATTTTTTATAACATTACAAAATGACCTTCATTTATTGCACAAGTATTAATATTATATGACAATTAATAAATTACATCAGGCAATTATATAACATTTAATGATTTTATAATATGAAATAATATTAAACTTGCATTTCAATTTTGATTAACTTATAGGATGTTGAATGGCTGAAAAATAAATGATTTTTAAATCATTTTAGCTTTATAATGATAAAGGAAATATTTTTCAATACTTAATGAGTCAATTGTGAGCATTATATAATATATACAATCACAATGTATGTATAAATTGCACAGCCTCTTATTTATACAGAATTTTGTACTAAAATATAAAATTATGTTATACATTAAATATTATATAAAATGTAATGAGACAAATATTAAAGCTTATATATTTCTTTTACATTAAATAAATTATTTTTTCCTGTATTACTACTTTATAATCAGTTACAATGTTATAATTAATATTTATAAAAATTACAACCTGTAATTAACATCTAGCTTCTTGGTTGGATGCATGCTGTATCAAGGCTTTCTGAAATATTTATTTAATTTATTTATTTTACAGATATTTATATATATATAAATATATATGTATTTATAATATAATGTATACGTTACCTTTAATATTGGTATAGCATTTGTAATTTGTAATCCTAAACTTCGAGCCAAAATAATGGGAGCTGCGGTTCCTTTGTATAATCGATGAAGAGCATCAATAGCTAGCATTGTAGGAATGTTATGACGCTGACGTAAAGTTTCATATTTAGTCAAGTATAACATGTTACCAAATACAGAACCATCCGAAACTGTATCTGCAAGAATTTTTACCAAATCAATGATATCTCCAAAACCTAAATTAACGCCTTGACCAGCTAAAGGATGAACACGATGTGCTGCATCTCTGTAACATAATTAAAAAAATTGTTCTTAAAAAATTACATTTAAACAACAAAACATAAAGATAAAAGAAAATGAACTAATTACCCGATTAAGACTGTTCCAGGTGCAACATATGACACAGAATGACCAAATCCTAATGGAAAGGCTGCTCTTGAACCTTCTACGATTTTTGATACTGATGGTGGCAATTGTCTTGATATTCCACTTTGTAAAGATAATCCTTGGAGTAATTGCTGTAAAGCTTTCATACCACTTTCTACGATACCATCTTTAGGATATACTTTCCACAATGCCTTGTTTATATTATCAACAAACTCTTCCTCTGATATTTTCATAAGATTTTTTGCTTCTTTAGTTGTAAGAGACCATACTAATGAGCTAAGGGTATTTGTTAACTAAAATATTAGTAAAAACTTTAATGTATATCATAAAATTATTTACATTATTTATTTAAAATAAATTTATAGTAATAATATACCGGAAGTAAAGCTATTGGTCCAGTTGGAAGGAATCTTTGCCAAGCGACAATATTTTCTGTTGGTTCACATAATTCCAATGTAGCAACAATTCCCATTTGATCATATTTCCATTGTACGTACTGAACATTCATAGCTTCACGTACTTTGGAATTAACTCCATCTGCACCTACCTATTATATTAATATAAGTATATTATTATAAATTAAACTGTTATTAGAGATAGCATTAAAAGAAGTGGGAGTAATACTACTTCGTTCTACTATGTCTGGAAATAACTTCTTTAGTTCTGTTCCAAGTACCAGAAAGCACACTTTTAAGAGTATTAAAAAATTTTACACCAAAATCAGTTTAAAAAAATTATTAACAAATTAGATACAATCTCAAAAGAATCATAAAAACATCTTTTAGCGATTATAAAGATACAAATAATAAGACTGTGACTTTTAAATTAAAACGATGAAATTTTATTTTACTTATAAAAAAAATAATTATACTTTTAAAGTGAAAATTTACTAATTTATTAGTTATCCTTTAACGTTTATATTTAATTTAACATTTCATTTTCGACAGGAAGGAGTGTGAGTTTGTACGGAAATTTCCTAAGATGACGAATACGAGTATTTCCTCAAAGGATGTTGCTATCACTTGTTATACTTAGGAATACATATTTTAAACTTGATACCATTTTATACGGGTAGGAATTTTTATTACGTTTACAATATAAAAAGAAGAAAAAATAGTGTAAAAAGATTACATAAATTTATCTTTAGATTTGGTGAATGGTGTTAGAATATTGAAGAACAGTAGGAGCTAAATATATGCCAGCGCTGTTTTATAAACATCAAGAGTATATGTGGACATTCTGTAAGGTATACAAAGAACAGGAATAGTTTCTTAGTGGTAATACACAAGAGTAATGTGAACGGAATAAAACGTTTGTAGTTACTACCTACCTATCACAAAAAAAGTATTCAATTCCTAAACTTTTTCTAAAATTTCATATGAATTCATTTTAATGAAATAATTTTTAAGTGTTTGATTTATCTTTCAGGCCTTGTATTCTGATAAAAGTGATTAAAGAAAAATATATAACGATGTCTTTACTAAATAAAAAATTGTTTGAAAGACTATCCGGTCGTAGTTCACAAGGGGAATCAAGAAAAAGTGACAAAGACAAAACACCGTCTATCGTTGTTAATTATGAGGTCAGATTAATAATTTAAATATTTTTCATACATAGTTTATTTTATTTCAAGATAACATTTCTCTATCGTGTTATGAAATGATTTAATATTTAGAACAACGAGGATGATATATGGATGGATGAAATAGATAAAAAAAGTATCTCTTCTGAGGAAACATCGGAAGCTGTAATGTGTCATATTCGTCAACGACCAATGAATCAACAACAATTATGGACTAAAGATGAAATTACTTTAGCACTGTCTAATCTTCCAGCAGGGGAGGTAGCTCTTGCTACAATTCCTACATTGTATGGTAGCATTTTGCAAAAAACATTAGAGGAATTAAAAGATTTACATCTTAGAAAATTACATACGGATTATAAAAGAACGTGCAGTTTCACAAACGGGTATGCTTTAAAACAAGTAATAATTCACCAACAATGATCAATTTCATTTAATATATATAGTTCATTTGATTTATGTTTCAAATTAGATGTATAAAGAAAACTATTTTAATATCCGAAAATAATACAGCAGCAACAGCAAAACCTACAGAATTGTTAGTAAAATGGCCAGAAACGTGTCTTCTCGTCGCATGTTGGGTTGGCCATTTTGAAATAGTTAAAATATTATTAGAAAAGAATGTAAACATCTCTTGTACGGATGAAGATGGAAGGTTTGTTATAAACTCATAATGTTTGTAATAAAGGTACATTTAGGATAGAACACAAATATTGTGAAATACTAAAAATGCATATTATAATTATAGGACTCCACTACATTTAGCAGCTAGTGCTGCATTTGTAAGAATACTAGAAGAGTTATTATCATTTGGTGCAGATCCTTGCGAATGGGATTTCAATAAAAAATGCACACCTTTGCATTGTGCTGCTGCAGTTGGAAATGTTGATTGCATTAAATCTTTGATAAAAGCTAAAGCAGATGTAGATGCTGGATTTCCAGGAAAAACTCCCCTTCATTATGCAGTACTAAGTAATGCAGTAGACAGTGCTGAAGTTTTGCTACAGGCTGGTGCACATCCTAATAATCCACAAGTACTTGACAAAATGAAATATATGATATTATTGATTTAATGGTGTAGAATATAATAATTACTCTCAAATAGGTTTATACTGAGACACCGTTACATGTAGCAGCTAGTCTTGGATCTGTTCCTTGCATGAAACTTCTATTAAGTTATGGTGCTGATGTAAGAGTTCAATTGGGCACTGCTAGATCAACACCAATTCATTTAGCAGCTGAAGAAGGTAGTGCAGAATGTACTAAATTGTTAGTGAATGCTGGTGCTTCATGCGATGCTAAAAATTCAAAGGGCCAAACGGCAATGCATTTAGCTGCATTAGCTCAATCTTCGGAAACTTTGGAAGTGCTTATTAATGCAGGTGCAACAGTAAACGTCGAAGATATCGATGGAAGAACACCATTACATGCAGCAGTTGCAAAATCGTTAAGAGCAACTGAATTAGTAAAAACTTTGATTCAGGTTCATATATAATAAAAATATAATATAAAATATTAAAGATTAATAGAAAGAATTTTAATTTTGTTTTTTTTTTAATAGGCTGGAGCATTGGTTAATAAGCCTGATAAATATGGTTATACTCCGCTACATATAGCAGCATTAAATGAAAATTCATCGACAGTAATGATGTTATTATCAAAAGGTGCAGATGTTACTGCCAGAACTAAAGGTGGTATTTCAGCATTAAGTTTTATTATTCGAAGAACACCAGATATTTTGCCACGTTTTGTTACAAGACTGGATCAAGCTATATCTTTATATGATCATGAATTAGGAGACGTTGATTGTGAATTGAGATTAGATTTTAGACCCTTAGTGCCAGGAGGAAAAGGAGAAACGGATTTAATGCTCTGTTTAATAGAAGTTGGTCAAGGACATATTTTAAAGCATCCGTTATGCGAAAGTTTTCTTTACTTGAAATGGTTGAGAATACGTAAATTTTTCCTATTTAGTTTAATCTTTCATTCTATTTTTGTTATATTTTTTACAGGCTATATTGCTGTTACATATTTATGGAATATTGAAAATTTTAGCAAAATATTATTTTGGCCAATATTAACTTACACGTGTATTCTTATAATCAAAGAATTATTTCAAATTGCTCATGATGTATGTTCTTATGTTAAACGTTGGGAAAATTGGTTACAATGGTGTGTAATTTTAACATCATGTTGCGTTTTAATTAAACCTATTAATAATTGGCAACATCATGTTGCAGCTTTAGGAATTTTATTAATATGGATTGAATTAATGATAGTTGTGGGAAGATTTCCAATGTTCGGGCTTTATATTCAAATGTTTACTCAAGTGTCAATAAATTTTTTTAAATTTCTTGGTGCTTACATTTGTCTTATAATAGGATTCTCTCTAGGATTTTGTGTTTTACATAAAAATTATAAATCTTTTGAAAATCCATTAATAGGTTTACTCAAAACGATTATAATGATGTCTGGAGAGTTAGAATTTGAAGACGTATATTTTGACAAAGAATTTAAAGTTTTATATACCGGTACATCGCATTTAATGCTTTTAAGTTTTGTTATTCTTGTGACTGTAATCTTAACAAATCTAATGGTCGGTCTAGCTGTATCAGATATACAAGAATTGAGAAGATGTGCCGGACTCGATAGATTGGTACGTAGAGCTGAGCTTGTATCATATCTAGAGGGAATGTTATTTTCTAAGATATTAAATTATGCACCTAAGAATCTAATAAGAACATTTAGACGTGGAGCTATGCTTTTGCATCCTCCATATCATTGTGCAATTCAGATTCGTCCTAATGATCCAAGAGAAAAACGTTTACCCAGAGATTTGTTAAAAGCTATATATCGTTTGGTATGCGAAAGAAAAGTTAGAAATACAACCAATAGAGGTACATTTACGCAAAGTGTAAGTGCATTGGAATCTGATTATGTAAAATTCAATCGACTTCAAAGTACTAATTCATCGACAGAATATAATCAACAACAATTAAATGAATTAGCGAATGAATTGAAAAGATGTTCGTATAACATTACAATGCGTTTAAACAGTCTTACCAATAAAGTAGAGAATATTGCTAAAGATTTGGATATATCAGTAAGTTAGTAAGTAAAATGACAAAGTTATTAGAAAATGTATTTTTGATAATAATTATTTTTAAGAAACTAGTAAATAAAAATGTAATTAAATATAAATTTGTCACTTACCAATAACTTCGTCTCGTATTGTTTTCCATTTTCTAGTTGTATTTTAGTATTAGCTCCTTCAATGCTCGGTAACAGTAAATTTGTAACTTTTGCATTATAGACAACATTTACATTTGGTTTTTCATGTAACTGTGTATTTACTGCATGAAGTAGTAAATCATTTTCTACTATGTACGCCAATTCTTTAGACAAATAATCCTCATTGAAAGTTATTATAGCATCAGAACATGCATCCCAAACCTACTAATAATATTATACATATAACACATTGTATATGATGTATATGTAAAAGTCATAATACTTTATGTTAAATAAAATAAGATAATATAAAAAGAAATCTAGCAGTACCTGCATTATTTTTACTGGACAACATCGTACAGCTTCTATATGTTGCCATGCTCCTATGCTTGATAGCAAAGTGCGAGTTTGTTGATTCAAAGCAACAACACGGTTAGAATACTTCTCTTGTGGTTTATATTCATATTTATTGTTGCTTTCCAATAGCAATACATTTTTCGACTCTAGCATTCTATTATTAGCTGTAAATATGATTTATGTTATTATTGGGTTATTTATGAAAATTTTTATAAATACAATTATTTTATAATATATTGTAAATATGAGATTAATGATTCATATTTATATATATTTAAAATAAGAAATTTTCTTATTCTAAAAACAGTTTCTATCATATCAATACAAATTATAAAAATAAAACTAACCTATAGCACATGCCAATGTTGTTCCTACCATACCACCTCCTGCAATAACAATATCATAAAATTCTTCATTGTTTTTATCATCAGTATAATTTCTTCTTATAAACGTCACATTATTTGCAATAGTGCATTTACATTGTTTGGTTAAAGAAATGAACAATCTGCGATATAAAGTATTCGTGCTGACAAGGGTCGCCATTTTGCTGCATAGTAAATAATATTATTTCATTTGGAAAATAAACAATTGAATCAAAAATTTTTGTTGCAATAATTGATATATATTAATATTAATTATATTTTTTTGTAATAATTTTAATATCGCTTAAAATATTTCTATTTAGTTTGATTTAAATCGAGAAAAAAAACAATATTTCAACGATGCTGCATATTTTTTAAATTTTTCGCGCCAAAACACATATCATTTTTAAATAAAATGTTACCGCTCGATGTAACTTAGGCAAAAAATGAATTTATTGATCAATTTTTTACATATAAATATCTCAATAAGATAAAAAATTATTTCAGAAAAAAATAAATAAAACTAAATCGTATTATTCCAGTTATAGATTATAAAATAGCTGAGAAATATATTCGAATGGTTGTCATCGTAACCATTGTAAGGACAACACAGAGAATAGAAATTAGTAAAATGTCATTTAAAATTGCACAATATCTTAAGAGAAGAAGATAATTATAAATAAATATTAATATTAAATTAATGCAATCGTTTTTTAAAGATTCCCCTTTATCGTAAATTATAGAAACTTAGAAATGCATTTCGATTTCACCATGGCGACGACAATATCGGTGAGGTTACCATTGATCTTCGAAACATAAATAGGTAGAATATATGCTATAGAAGAAGAACAAGGTATGTCGAAAACTATTTCATAACTATTACTTTCTAATAATTAAATTAATTGAATCGTTGAGAAAATTCTTCGACAATTTAACAAGCATTTAATTATTTATAATTTTATTTTTATCATATAGAATCATAAAAAAAAACCAAATTTGATATATTTATAAAAATAAAAACTAAAATACATTATTCTAGTTGCAGAAAATTTCAATAAAGTTTGTTAACTTATATTTTCTATATCCTTATGATTGTACGTATAATTAAATTGTAATAAAAATTTCGAATCAAAACATTCGTCTATAGATTTTTAATTTACAATATTAACAATACGAATTGTTCATTTGTTTGTATGATTGTAATATTTAATCTTAGAAAAGAAATGAAAAAAAACCTTTTGATTATTAATTTGAATCATTCTGATGTTGAATTATTTATTAGAAATATTAAATCGTAGAAAGTAAGATATGGCAGAGCATAGAGGAACATCGTTTTATAATTCATGCGTGAAAGTACCGATAGATCCATGTAGCAGGCAACCAACACCTTCCTATGAACGTCCACGATCTATCAAAAGTGAAAAACAAAATATTGTCGAATCAAAAGGACGGAAGATTAATTTTGCTTCAGAGGATTTACCAAAAACCGAATCGGAATTATCGAGTCCTCGAGAAAATTTAGAAGATTTTCTAGAATTTTTGGAAAGTATACCTGATTATACACAAGTCAATCATCTGTCTAACGAACAGTTTCGGCAAAAAGTCGAATACTTGAGAAGGAAGCAACGACTTTTCTTAAAGAATTTAACAAACAATTTTGACGAGACTGAAAAAGATACGTTGAGAATATCGACGTCGAGAAGTAATCGTAATATTAAAGTTATACGAGACGACATCAATGAATTAAGATTAAATGGTAAAAAATGTTACATCGAGGAGTCGAGAACAAACAGTCCTATACTTTATCCGTCCGGTAGTTTCGCTGGACTTATGGAAGACCAAGATCTTTTGACATTTAGGTAGGTATAATATATATTAATTATAATATCGAATATTATTCAAGGATATGAAAGGCGCAATCAAAATAAAAAAAAAATAAAAAACTATGATTCTTGCCATAAAACATTTGACATTCGTTTCGTCTTTTTGATCTTTTTTAATACGATTTATTTTCTTTTTTTTTTTACGATGGTATCAAGAAACTATTGATCCCATGGCCGATGCTATTTGTTACTTAAGTCTGAATACGGCCCTGAATTAACTTGAAATGAATTTATCTGTTTCCTATTTCCTTACTTTACGATAGGTATAAGGATAAGGAAGCTAAAGCAACACGTAACAAGGAAATACACACAGCCAACAAAGAATGGAACACATGGAGTGAATCAAAAAGCAATGAAAGTTTGAATAACGATTCGGAGGACAGCGTGGAGACCAAAAGTCTTCCAGCGAGTAGTCCGAAGGAATGGCACCCGACTGTACCTAAGCCGTTTAGTTTTACTCTCAGGTAGAATATTATTGTTTGTGTCATAAAACATCACAGATGTAAACATTTTGATCAATATTGTAATAAATATACAAGTAAGAAACGGAAGGATAAATGATACGAAATCCATTTTCAGAGAAGAAGCAGAAAAATATATGACACTGGCGGAAATGGAAGCGGTTGCATATTCTAAGAAGGAAAACAATAAAAAAGGTTTTTCCAAAAAACGTCGGGTTAGACCTATTCCCCTTACTTCTAAGATACCACTTTATGACAAGTTACTCGCTGAAAAAGAAGAGAGGTAATTTGTGTTCTTAAAATTAATTACGAAATTAAGTTTCGAATTGATTCATAAATTTTTCTTGAAATTGATATAGTAGAGTTTATTATTAAAATTGAGAAATTCATACGTGAAAAAAATAATATGCCGTTTTATCGTAAATATTGGAAAAAAAAAATAAGTTTATAAAAATAATATATTTTAATTTTATTTCCAATATTACAATATACGGATAAAACAATATATATTTTTCACAAATTTATTTACGAATCAATCGAGAATAAAATTTTCTTTTCCTTTTAACTTTCACTTGTAAATTTAAACACTTTCATCGTAAATAATTCACTTTCCATGTTTTCATATTCTTTTATAAAAAAGAAGTCGTATAGTACGCGAGGAAAGTGCATTGAATTTGTTATCTCAAGTGCGTCCTTTCAAACTTGAATGTGATCGCAGAGCTTGGAGATCTTTGACACGTTCAAGTCCAGAAATATGTAGCAAAAATTCTCGTTCAACCTCGAGATTCAAGGCAAAACCTGTACCTAAAAACCTGTTTGGTACTGAGGTATATGACCGAATGCTTGAAGATGAATACTATAGGTTATTATTATTATTATTATTATTATTATTACTATTTTATTTTATAATTTTATAATAATAAAAATTTGATTAAAATTTGGTCCTTAGGGGTTTTAACGTAATTACAAATATTTATTTATTAATAAATAATATAAATATTTGTGTATCGTTCGGGATGATACGAATTTATAGGTAATCGTTTTTCAGAGAATTGACAAAAAAGGTAAGAGCATCCGAATTAATGAGATCTTCCTCATTACCACCTTCAATGGCAAGACGTGAACGCGTGAAATCAGCATGTGCAAATTTACAAAATTATCCTAATGACTCGACCAAAGAAACGATTGTTCAAAGTAGAGAATCATCGCGATTGTCAAATCTTACAACAATGACATCGGAAAGATCTAGATCTGCATTGAACAGTTTACCATCACGGGGCAATAATTTAGCAGCTGTTCTCAGATGTCAAGCATCACGGTATTTTATTTTCTCAAAAATTGTGCGATTCATGAATTTCTATTCATTGGTTTAATGCAAATGATTAAATCAATTAATTTCAATTTAAATTTTATTTTAGAGAAAAGTTGGAACGAGAGATAAGAGAACGAATGGATGAAAAACGTCGTGAGCAAGTTATCAAATTAAAAGAAAATCTAATTGGTCGTAAACCCGCTTGGAGAGCACTTAGATCCGCAACGAGGTATCAAAGTTAGCCGCATTGAAAAATTATTTTTAACGAATTTCTCTTTTTGGATATTTCTTATTATAAAAATCCGGAAAAAAGCGTACATACACGCAAGTAGATTTATTTTTGCACCCCCTGGAAGGGATGTTGACAATGTTTGTATGTTGTAATTGTTAGAAAAAACAAATTATTTTAAACGATGTAGGCACGATCACGAAAGGGATTTGGATATTCGAACATCCATGCGTCGAAACGAAGCTCGTGAACAAGCCGAACGTCATCGTCTTCAAATGGAAATGATGTTAGATCGGGTTACACAAATACCAACGCTTTTTGAACGACATTCTCAGGTAAAAAAAGGATTATAATTATATTTGATCAAGAATAAAATATTATGACACAAAAAAATAAAAAAAAAAATAAAAGAAAATATTCCAATTCAGTAAATTTATTTATTTTTTTTTTTTTTAGAGTTTCCAGTCATTGACGAAACTTCAAAGAAAAAATTATGGGACTAACGTACAAAGGAAGAAAAAGAAGAGAATAAATAAACGAGATAACAATAGCGGTACCGATTCGTATCTGAGTTATTGTAGTAATTCAAGGCCAAATTCGGGATCGTTTACAAGTTCATCTACTATTATGGCATCTTCAAGTCAATCATCGAAATCTTCGGAATCAAAGGAATCGGATAAATCGCTCGAAAAATTAGAAAATTCTGGTCAAAAGAAAAAAGGCTATCGTGGACCTCTTAAAGTGTCTATTAAGGAAACGGCAGAATTAATTGAAGATAAATTATCTAGTGATCGTTATAGTGATGAGGAAGAACACGAGGAAGATGTATTACGAAGTAATCATCATACCCCGGATGAATAAAAACATACAATTTTAATAATTAAAATAATTCAATTGCATTTATAAATAATTAAAAAATGTCATGTAAAATAAGCGTAATAATAATAGATGAATACATATATTATGAATAATTAGATTATTTGTAATTTTTTTTTTTTTTATTAAAACATAGACTATACAAGTTTTATTTTAAATTGCATTTATTATATAAGTCAACTGTCTCAATGCGCTGTAAACTATATTGTATATTACAATAAGTGCAATAATTAATGAAGTATTATGTATTATAATTTTTGTAATACATATATATGTATTAAACTCTGGTATACATTGTATATAAGAAATAAATATACTTAAATAATAATATTTGTGAAGTATCAATACAATATAGTTCATAAATACGTTCAAATAATACGTCGAAGTAAATGCGTTCAGTTTTTAATTAAAATGTGGTCTCTTTTTGTTTCTTTTCTTTTTATTTGTCAGATCTGTATTTCTCGGTACGCTAATGATAAGTCTCATTAATGATAAATGAAATATTGAAAAAGTAAATGATAAATAATTTCTTCTTATTTATTGTATAACAATATTTGTGTTATCACTAAAAATAAAGCTTCAATAAAAAAGTACAAAATAATATGTCAGCGTTGATGAAATTAATCCCTAATAGTATCTAAAATCCAATCCATGTAATATTTAACGTTAGTGTAAACACCTGGGTAACCTGATGTACCGCAATTTCTCATTCCAAAACTAACAATTCCATATTGAACGTATCGAGATTCTCTACCGAGCAACGTAGGCCATTGAAGAGGTCCACCACTGTCACCAGAACAAGAGTCTCTATCTTTTTCACCTCCTGCACATAGTTGTTTATGCCAAATTCCAATTTTACCCTGGTAAATGTCTTTACATCGTGAATTTTCTACGATTGGCAGTTTAATTTGCAATAAAGCGGCACTTTGCATGCCAGTTTCTGTCGTACCCCATCCTGTAGCGATTAGCTTTTAACAGACAAAATAACAAAAGATCAATTTCAATCAATTAGAAATGTACAATTCGGGTGTTTGTAACCGTTTGAAATGAATTTCTTAATGTATCAAGTATTATATATTATATTACCTGTCTTGGAATCGTAAGGTTATTTAAAAATGGTAAACAAATCGGTCTAACATTATTAACCGTCAAATCAGCATCTCTGTCCAATCTTAACAAGGCAATATCATTTTGTAATGATTTTGAAAATTGTGGATTAAAATGTACACTTTCAATGCCAAAATCTTGATATTTATCTGCACAAAATGATATGACTTCTCCATCCATTTCACAGTCACGTTCCGTTCTAAGATCATGTTCTCCTAATCTAACAGAAACCAGACTTACACCTAAAAGAAAAAATACAATCATAAGACAAAAAAAAAGATCACACGTGTTAGAAGTGAAACCTTCAAAAATTTAAGTTTCAAGAGAATGAGACGAATGCACAGTTTCAAAAGTAAGATAATTGTAGGATTTATTTATTATATTATTATTATCATATATAATAAAGGTCACCGGTATGGTCTCTGGGTGGAATAGCTGATAAAAAGTACACTTTTCCAAATTCAAGCAATAAAAATGGAATGCTAAATGCGATAGTTATAAATAGACACCAAAACGGTAGGATGTTTATCAAAGGAAATATAATTCGTCAGAAATTTGGTAAATATAAATAATCCTTTTTTTGAAACTCAGGTATAACATTTTTTTTATTAGTATGGTTTTCAATTTCCCGTTTTCATCTACATTCTTGCGCTGCTAACAAACATTTTAGGATAGACGAAATAAAGACGTTACGTAAAACATATGGAAAATACTGCTGGACTGAACGAAGGTTCTGGTAAAATGCAATGAAAGATCTAATAAAGATATTCTCTAGAAATGTTTCTTCAACTCTGTAGCCTACCACACTTCGAGACCCTTATTATTTATAACTAATGTATTCTACAGTGTTCTCTAATTCTTTTTCTTTGATGTATCTGGTAATCCTTCCTTTTTTAAAAATATTGCAGACAATACAATTATTATATTCTATATATTTCATAATTGTTAATTATAATATTTGCGAAATAAATAATTTAATATTAATTTTTCAATAAA